TAGTTAAATTAAGGTAAAATGTGATGAGGTTATAACCATGCTTGATTGACTAGTATAAAACACGACGATCTAAAGACGTCGAAATGGTATGACATTTGTCACCCGTAGACCTGCAGGTCCCACTGTAGCTAGCAGCAAGGTGTATGATGGTCAATCCCATATAGATCTATACACAAACTCATGCTCTCCCTCCAGGAGACTATGGTTACAAAACGTGACACAACAAGTATATTGCTATACCATGAAGTAGTGGCTCACATACTTGTTAGTTTGTTCTTGTTATAGTATATATGTTCCTTCCTGTTCTAGTTATAATATGTATGTTCCTTCCTGTTCTAGTTATAGTACGTATGAACTAACTCATGTATGAATAGACTCATGTAAGAACTGACTCATGTAAGTTTCACTAATCTAGAAGTAGTAAGTAGTAATCCTCTAAACTATACCTATTATAGTTTACTAGCATGATTTTTTGACTGTTACTGATTTGAAGAAAAGACTCAATTACTCACCATAAGCAACTAAGTTAAGCATGTACTTTAAAAATGGGTTTAATATTCATATATGCATTTAATATGTATAACTATGATTTAGCCGACATTCGGACTAGTGATCCTACCCCAAGCCCACAACCAAACAAGGAACATGAGTCAAGGTATCTAGCAATAGTCCTAAGTCTGTTAAAGCATACTTATACGTAAATAGATAGACGAATATGATTTGATATAAAAGAAGTCTAAAATAATTTAAAAGAGTTTTAACAAGTTTTTTAGTATAAGAAATCCTTTTGGATGTTGTTTTCACATGTAAATGGTTAACACAATTTCATTGTGTTCTACTTGTATTCCCCCTCTAAAACATTTAAAAGCATTTAAAAGTGTAATTGTAGGGGTATGAACTCACCTAATGTGAGTGACTCGAATGAAAGATAGATATAGGATTGCTTGGTATCACTAGTGATGTCCCGAGCACAAATGGATCCTATTTAGCATATAATAACACATATATGTATGGAATTAGGGCCTATAACAACTAATAAGTATAGGAAACAAACTTAGGAACTAGGAAACACATACAATGAAGTGTTAGAATTTCAAATGGATGGTTGAAAGGTGTTCACGGATACACAAGAGGTGTTCACGGCCCTTGGAGGGTTCACGGTCCAAGAACACTTGAAGTGTTCACGACCCTAGCTTGGATCTAAGAAGGGTTCATGGCCAAATGATGAAGGTTCACGGCCAAAGAGTGGTTCACGGCCCTATGAACACTTTGAAGATCTTGAAGATGATGATGAAAAGTGATGAATCAATGTTAGGATCAACGGGTTTCTAAGTATAAACAAGTAAAGGGGGTGAGATACTTACGGTCTTGGGGTGAAAGAAGACTCTTTTATGGATGATACTTGAGAGAGAAATGATGTATTCACGGCTGGAAATGGAGAAGTGAAGAGAAAATGGCCAAAACTCATGTATATGGCATGAGTTCATGGCCAAGGATGGGTTCATGGCCGTGAACCTAGTTTGCGGTCGTGAACTCCTTTTGATGGTGTTTCTGGCTCGATTGCAACTCAATGATCTCAAGCTAACACTTCCTAGCACACAATCCTTGAGTGTAGTAGGCTTAGAAACTCTCAAACAGACCCTTAACACATCATAAAGGTAACAGAAACAAGTCTGACTTTTGATTGAATTGATTGACTTTACAAGATAGAAATTTCGGGTTGTCATAGTTGCTAAAACGAGTAAACAAGTTTCATTGCTAAAATGAGTATACAAGTTTCTTTGCTAAAATGAGTATATAAGTTTCGTTGCTAAAATGAGTATACAAGTTTCATATGTGTATAAAGATTCCATCCATGAGTTCACAACCCAAGCCTAATGACATAATCGTGCCCTATTTACTACTATGTGTATCGCAAACATAGTGAATAATATGGTAAAATGCACTTCACGAATTGTGCGAGTAAGGAGTTGTCTACCTCCTAATAACGTTATCCATAATGATAATGGGCTCAAAAGTGTTAATGAGTTGGGTCAAATGATTCCAGGGACTTAACCGTGATACAGTCCTCATTAATTAAAGTAACATACACATACATGCAAAATATAGCAACCGAGTTTATACGAGTCAAAATAAATACAACGAACGTAAACAGTTTAGGACATGTTTTTCCACCCTAAAACATAAAAATCGAAAATAGGGGCTGTGAATACTCACAATGATGCGTGAAGGTATTTGTGATGCCTTGAGCTAACTTCCCTCACGTCCTACTACAGATTCCTTACGATAATGTTACACACTAGTAAGTCTTTAGTCGAAAATCTAACACTAGTATACTTTATTCCTACAATAAAATTATGTCAATATTGTGTCAAAATCATGTTTTGTATAAGTTACAAACATTTTTCTTTAAATTCATATTTCCATGGATCAATTTGTTAAATAACAAATTTAAGTGAAAAATCTCATTTTTGGCAATATCAATTGAAGTGTAACTATAACATTTTGGAAGGTGTTTCAAATGGTTAAATATTCAAAACTAAATCAAATAAGTTCTAAAATTTCCCAAACTTTGTATTTCATTTTTAACTGAAGTCAAAGACATTAACATAAATTTTCTTGAATTTTTGATTTGTCTAATTATTTTTCACCAATTTAATTCCTTGAAATATCATAAAATTGGGGAAATTAGTAAATGATCATGGAAAATTCTTAGAATTGTTGTTTTGTTGCTTCATAGTGTCCCTAAAGTGGGAAAATTAATAAATGCCAATTTTGATCAATAAAACCCAGTTTTATAATTTAAATGTATTCTGCACTAAGAAATTTTAATTAAATATCAAAAAGTAATTAAAATCACCAAACTTTTTATTTTTGTTCCAACTAAAGTTAAGGACTTCCAGAAAATGCTTCATAAATTTTAGATATGTATAGCTATTTTTCCTTTATATTAACCACTTGAATCCTCACAAATTCAAGAAAAATAACAACCAGTTAATAAAAAATTCCAATATTTTTTTACAACTTATATACAATGTATATAAATTGGAAAAAATGTCAAAAGTGGTTTTTAAAGTAGTTAACCTGATTTCATGATTTATGAGTATTTATTCTAGCAAAAATGTAAATAAATAATAAACAGTTTATAAAATTTTCCGAACTTCTTATTTGTGGTTAAACTATAATACAAGATTTTATGATAATTTCTTATGATTTTGGGAATAGTTTAACTATTTTTCAATGATTTATTCTCACATATAAGCATTAATTCATGAAAAATTACTAAACAGTAAGTAAAATTCATTAAACTTTTTATTTACGGTTAATATATATTGCAAGATATTCTGAAAAAGTTTTATAATTTTTTGACAAGTTTTACTATTTTTCATTAATTTAATCATTTAAACATTCATCAATATAATTTAATTCATCAGGGTTTTCCCAAGTAAACACCCCCCCCTCCCGACACGTGTATATATATCTACAAGTAAATAAAACAGATTTATCAAATAACATAATGAATAAAATAGATTTTATAAAAACCTTACAAACTAATTGTATACTTATTACGTATTCCAATTGTGTGAGTCTTTGGTTAGTGAAAGTCAACCAAACGTTACCTTCTCATTTATCTATTTCCCTATAAACCCGTTACAAATAATGTACAACAAATAGACTGTTATTGTGTCCTGGTCGGTAATATAGTAAAAAATGAATGATGAATCAACAATTTCGATATTCTTTGTTACATCCGGATAGCAACGACCAAAATTAAACTCGAGATCATATGTAATTCCTATCGACCGAAATAATTAAATCGACCGCTAATTAAAATTGTAACCGCTCCTCGAATAGTAGTTGATGGTCTAGTCTAACAACATGCAAATAAGATGATATTCTTTATATTCATATAATCTTTATATGTCTACAACAACCCATGCTCTATTAAAATGTTACACATAAGCAACCAAATCAAAATAGTAATATAGTAGAAAAAAAAATTAGCGAAAAAATGATAAGAATTTTGCAGGTCGATACCTACTAAAATGTAGATTTTTGCTGGTTGAAATAAAGAAAAAAAAAAGAGTTACAAATTTTCGTAGATTTTCGCAGGCTTTCGTAGGTTGAAATAAGAATTTTGCAAATCTTTGTTTATAAACATAGATTTTTTTCTATTGTTTTCAGAGAGAATTTATAAACACACTCAAAAATGTTGTGTTAAAATAAAGGAAAAAATGGTTTTTATTAGGGGTGTCAATTTATGACAAGACACGACAAAAATACACGATACGAAACGAAATTGAGACGAAACTGAAATTTGAATTCGTGTTCGTATCGTGTTCGTGTTCGTGTTAACTGTAAAAAAACTCGATGTCGTGTCATGTCGTGTTCGTGTTCAAGATTCGACACAAAATTGACACGATTTAGTAGCTCTTTATCGTGTTTTTCGTGTTATATTTGATAAAGTATTCATTAAATAAATTAGTTTTTAGTATATATTATATTTTTCTTGTCGTTTCGTGTTGTCGTTATTTAATTCGTTCGTTTTCGTGTTAGTTAAAAAAACACGACATTGTGTCGTGTCGTGTTCATGTTACATAAAACTTTGTCGTGTCGTGTGTCGTGTAAACACGAAACGATAGCACGATTTGTCACCCTTAGTTTTTATGTCCTTAGAATTAAACCGGTGAAATTTTCGCAGCGACATGTAATTTTCGCACTCCTCTGCATATTTTTGTAGTCGACTTTCTTAATACCCCGTAGTTTAAAAAAAAGTTCTTTTATATCCTTAGAACTAAATCATAAGACAGTTTTCGCAAATAATAACATGTAAAAATTGTAGCTATTTTGATAGTTTTAAATTTTAATTTTCTTGATTGGAAAAAACTTTGAATAAAAAAGGTATGGTTATTTTCTCAAAACTCAAAAGTATTATTTTATTTTATTTTATTGGATTTATTGGCGGCCATTAACCCACGTTTTAACATAAAAAAGCTTATGAGAATCGAGAAGCAGCAACCAACTCATGTGGCGGACATCAATCGGAAACCGCCATTCGCCAAATAAAACTTGAACACGAAAACAATGGCCAATTCATCCCCAATGTTCCTCCTAAGAACCTCTTTCTTTCATGCTTTCACAATCACCACTACCAAACCCTTCTCTAATTCCATCATTTCCCCTTTCAAACCCCACCAATTACACATCAAATCAACCAAGGTTAGTACATTTCATCACTTCCCCAATCTCCTGCCATCAAAATATTCCAATTTCACATTCTTACTGATCCAGAAGTAGAAACTCTTTGAATATCGTAAAATTCTGCTAATTAAGTGTGCGATTGGTGTTTTCAGATGGAAAGAAGTGAAATTACAGCGGAAATAGAAGTGGGTAAGAGCGGAAAGAAGAAGATTTTTGTATCAGGAGCCACCGGAAAAACTGGGAAGAGAATCGTCGAGCAATTACTTGCAAAGGGTTTTTCCGTGAAGGCTGGTGTGCGTGATGCCGAGAAGGCTAAAACAATCTTTCCAAATCCCAATCAAGATCTTCAAATCGTAAGTGTTTGATAAACATCAAATTGTTTATCCCAAATGAGCCAAATTGAACACATTTTTTCTAAGTTCAGGTGAAAGCTGATGTCACAGAAGGTTCAGAGAAGTTAGCGGAAGCCATTGGAGATGATTCAGATGCTGTCGTATGTGCTACTGGTTTTCAGTATTCATGGGACTTGTTGGCTCCATGGAAGGTCAGTTCTTTGTCATTGGTGCTCTCAGTTTGTTGGGGTTTATTTAGCTTCTTTCTGTTGCATTTCATTCTATCAATATTTAATTGTTAGGTTTGTTGGTTGAGTTGGATTTGTAATTAGTTGAAGTTAGTTGAATCTGAAATTTTAAATGTTAGGGTATGGTAATCTGAAGAATTTTAATTTTAGTTAGAGTTTGTTGGAATCTGATTTGGTAAATTCCTATTTGTTTCTAGTTAAAATTATTGAATATTTTAATCAGATAATTATTATATTGTAAATTCCTTGGTTGAATTAATTATTTATTTATATTATGTCTTACATCATATATATATATATATATATATATATATATATATATATATATATATATATATATATATAAAGTACATTGCTATGATGGTTTTTCAGGTTGATTATTATGGGACAGTGAACCTAGTGGAAGCATGTCGGAAGCTCGGTGTGACTAAATTTGTCCTTGTGAGTTCAATATTGGTCAACGGTGCTGCAATGGGCCAATTGCTTAATCCAGCTTATGTATTCCTAAATGCTTTCGGGCTTGTTTTGGTAGCCAAACTTCAAGCTGAGCAATACATACGAAAATCCGGTATCAATTACACAATCATAAGACCAGGAGGCTTAAAAAATGACCCGCCAAATGGCAACGTTGTCATGGAACCAGAGGTTATTTACGTCTTTTGCACATCCTATCTCTTTCTTGAAAATTCGGTTATTTAGAAGCGACTCGATTTCAAAAAGATTTCTAAGGCTATCTTTAAATGATGAGGATGAGGATAACATTTTTGTCTTTTGCATAGACGAGAGATCAAGAACAAGTCCCTCTCCCATGTTTTTGGCAGGATAAAAAAATACAATTTTTGTCTTAGTGACATCAGTCTCCATCTCTAGGTCCAGTGCATGTCAAATGCAGTGGAAAGATGATTGTCCTGTCTTACACCACACTATGTAACAAACGGGGCCTACGGCCCCGTTTATTATGTAGTACATGACATGACAGATTAGGCTGTACTGTATTTGATTTGACATGCACCGGACCTGGAGACCGGAGACTGATGTCATTAAGACAAAAATTGTATTTTTTGTCCTGCCAAAAAAGATGGGAGAAGGACTCGTTCTTGATCTCTCGTTTATACAAAAGACAAAACTGTCCCCATCCTCATCATAAAAGATAGCCCTAGAAAATAGGGTTGAACATGTGAAACAAAAGTACGGTTTTTGACTTTCGAAAACAAACCGTCGGATTTTTTAGTTTCTAGTTTTTTTTTTTTTTTTTCATCAAACATGCTACTAAATTTTAATTAATTTTCTATGAAACCTTTAATTGAATTTATATCAAATTTGCATGCTAAATTTGAGTATTGACAAGTGCAAGTGATATGATGTGTAGGATACGCTGTCGGAAGGATCGATATCTAGAGACCAGGTAGCTGAAGTTGCAGTTGAGGCACTGCTTCAACCGCAATCTTCTTACAAAGTGGTGGAGATAGTTGCTCGAACCGAAGCTCCTAAAAAGTCGTTTGAGGAACTTTTCAGTTCCATTAAAGAGCGATAATTTATTCATCGTAATATAATATTGTTTATATGTTATTCTATACGGTCATTTGTACCTAACTCATGATTCCGTAAAAATGGGCTTTCATGTCATTTCCTAAAAAAGATTGTTTTTTTTTCTTGTAGACTATATAGGACAACTAGTCTTTGTGATACCTATATGAGGTGGTCTGTTATTAAAACACACATTAGATTGGGACTTTGTTATAACAAAACAAATTATGCAAAATAGATATAGAAGTTATAAGACCTATTTATGTAACATTTCAATAATTAAAACAAAAATAATTTTTTGTCAAAATGCAAAATGTGGAAAACAATTGTCAAATTTGAAGGTAGCAACACAACATTCGTTTTCAAGTGTTTAAATGGGCTCCTGTAAAGATAAACTATTTTATTTGGAGGGTATTTAAATCAAAGGGAAATGGAGTTTTTTCTCCTATTAGATGATGATGAAAGGGGAAAAAAATCCTTTTCGGAATTATTACAACGTTGCGCCTAGTTGATTTCGAGCCTTTTCACATGTTCCAGTTTTGTCTCAATTACACCAATGAACATTATTTCTCCTTCATAGCTGCTGGTTCAAACGTAAATCTAAGTTGTTATTCGTGGTGAAGCACACATAGTTTTTGTTTATGATACTTACATTGTATGAGTATGACCTTTTTTCTAATGTATGGATACTAGTTTGCTATTTGCATATTGGTGTTGCTCTTATAGTTTATTGAACTAGATGTTTTTACTTATTATTGCAATTTTTGTTAATGGCACCTCATTGGTTTTGGTATTTAGTATTTTAATATATGGATCTTCAATCTACTATGTAAGAATAAAGTGTGAATTGAATGTTATTACCTTTTATTTAAGAGATACAGGTTAATAGGTTAATCGTGTGTTTTGAATCAATAGTTAATGGCTATTTAAATGTTTCGTTTGAGTTTCTATAATCAATAGTTTAATACTTAATGGTTAAAATGGTTGTTCAATTATTTGATATGTAGGAATATATAAAGTGAATGAAAATTTTGGAAATTAGGTTGACTCGTGACTCATTCACCACACAGGTTTTAAAACATTGGTTTGATGGGAATTGAAGACTTTTATAGTTTTTTGCTCACTCTTCCCCTCATATGTTCTTTGAGCATTCATGTGTTTGGATTGGTGTTGTTTTTTTGTTGTTTTCTTCTCACAGTTCTATATTCTTTGTATTGCTGTCCAGATCCGTGTTGTCTTTTTAATTTTTTAATTAATTGCTTGTCGTTCTAAAAAAATATATAAAACAAAATTATTTAAAAGGCAAAGTATTCAAACAGTCAAAAAGCCAAAGAAATTCAAAATATTTAAATATTAATGTTATAATTTGGTAGCAATTTTTTTTCTACAAAACATCATTATCTTAAAAATGTATTATCATAGGTTAAGTAACTTAAACAATATGTATACAGAAAACTATTATTATTTTAATGATATTTTGTGAACAAGAACAACACTTGGATATTGTTTATGGTAATTACCTATGATTTATTTAATTGGTTAGTTAGTAAACTATGATATTAACACCTGATATTTCGCTAATTTATATCATTAACAACTAGTCAGTTATTCATTAAAATGACCACTCTTGGAACCCACACATCTCCCAAAACTCACCAATAATCTTTTATTCAAAAATATCATTTAAATTTGCTAAATAGGGCTCGTAATTCGTGTTTGGGCCTTGGGCCCATGCTCTCATCTTATATGCCTAGAATCTCAGCCATGTTTGTTGAAACTAGGGCTGAGCATGAGTCGGTTTGGGTCGGTTTTGCCCTAAACCGAACCCAAACCGATGACCATCGGTTTCTAAAAATTTAAACCCTAACCGACCCTAAACCCATGAGTTCGGTTTTATGGTTTATCAGTTTCTAAATTGGGTTTTCGGGTTACCAAACCTTAAACTATTTTTCTACAATCTCATATCCTCACTTATATAGAAGTGAAGATTTGATCCCTCAAGCGATGTGGGACAAAGCTAATAGCTTGATAAAACTGAAGAGGATGTATGTTCTGCTTATATACGCGATCATATGTAGCTACGTTTCAATCATGTGTCAATGTTGGATGAGTTTATCTAGCAGCGAAAATAAAAGAAGTGAAATATTGGACACAGGTTTCGAACTTGAGACCTCTTGAAAAACACTTGAGCGCCTTACCCACCTGAACTAGCTTATCTATTTGACATTACTTCGCTAAACATATTTATATTTGAATATAAATTATATATTTTTATAAACAATATATATATATATATATATATATATATATATATATATATATATAATCGGTTCGGTTCGGTTTCTATCGGTTTTACCAAACCCAAAAACCGAACCCAAACCGAAATTTTCGGTTTTCAAAAAATCTAAACCCAAACCGTCGGATTATGCTTCGGTTTTGGTTTCTCGGTTTCGGTTTTGTCGGTTTTTATCGGTTTTTCGGTTTCCGGGTTCGGTTTTGCTCACCCCTAGTTGAAACCCTACCACGTCTTCTAACCGCTCCAAACACAACGATTTTCCATGTTACCCTTTCCAAGCAAATCGATTATATCATGTGCAAGCAATAAAGCAAAGATGGACAACTAGAAAGGACTTGTTCTAGAATTGTTCTATAAGTAAATCAACCAAAGATGGTCATCTAGGCATACATGGACTCCAAAATTGGTCATTTTAGGCATATACAAACTATCACAAATGGTTGTCTAGGCATATATGGACTCCAAAATTGGTCATTTTAGTGAATAACTCATAAATTTTTTTCATCCACAAGGCAATCCAAACTATCACAACATACTGACATCATTAATAAAATTTGAGTATGTAAAAATGTATTAGATATTAATTTTGAGAGTCATATGGTTCACACTTGTTATTAAGGTTGTTAAAATTTCTATGTGATTGTAGGATCGTCTTACCATCCAAAAACGATCTTGATCATGACATGAACGAATTAGATGTAAGGTCGATGTAGGATTGTAAGATCATGAATATGATCGTAAGATCGTTAATAATATTGATATATTAAAATATTAATAAAAAACATCAATAAAATGATATTTTAGTTTTTATCATTTTATAGATCTTTTATTTAGTCTAAGAAAATATTTTAAACTGATTGATATCTTAATAATTAAACTAATATAAATGATATTTAGATTTTATGGTTTCCATCGAGGCTCTTTATTATCTTAATTAAATATTTAGACTAATTTTACTTTAGATTAGAAAATGATAATGATGTACCATTTCTCATCTTAAGTTAGATAGATAGATTTCTAGTTTTGGTTCTAAAGTTATTACCCATGATTTAATTTTACGCCTTGTTCCCGAGTTATTTATTTATTTTATTTTTTTTTGTTTTGTAAATTCAATAAAAAAAAGTGAATGAAAAGTTTGACAGAAAGAAAGAGATGTGAAAGAAAATATTCATTATTTTGTATTCCCGAGTTCAAACGAAATGAAAGGAAATTAAAGGAAAATTTTAGGTTTTTGTGTTCCCGAGTTAGGACGGAAAAAAAAAACTTAAAACTTTTCCTTCCCTCATTTTCTTCCCAAATCCGCCCAATTTGGTAGGAAATTTTGGAAGGAGAAAATGGCTCAAAAATCATTTCTCTCCCTCACTTTCCTTCCATTAATGAAACTCGGGAACAAGATTTTTCTTCGACATCCATCACTTTCCCTCTGTATCCATACATATCCCTCCTTAAGTAGAACTCAGGTATGACAACCGTCAATTTCTGGTCAAGTCAAAGTCAAATAAAGTCAACAAGTTAAACCGGTAACTCAATTAACCCTGTATATTAGGGTTTACATTATGTTACTACTGTACAACTCGCTATTTTAATAAGAAGTTATCACTTGGAAAATTCCTAGGTTCAGAATTCTTAAACCCTAATCAGGGTAAGTGATGAAACTACTTGGTAAAACATTATTTCGTACCCCTTGGGGGCGTATAACATTCATAACAAGGCTTAACGGGGTTTACAAACCTTGCGTTGCAAAGCTAAACATCCAAAAAGGTCACAAACGAAGTCTCTCTCAATCTCCCTTTATCAATCTCTCTCTCAAATCTCTCCTAAATCTCTCTCAAAACTTTTATAATCATTTACGGCATCCCGACCCTTAACTTAGTCAAAAACAACTCGAAACGGGAAGTTTATGCGAAAAACAGCTCTTTAGAAGCGAAACCCTCTTAAGGAGCCGAACCCTCTTAAGGAGCCGAACCTCTCATTAGAACCGAAACTGCCATGGACCGAAACCTTCTTCAAGAACCGAACCCGAAGGTCCAATTCGGGCCCGAAACCTCTACAACCGAAGGTCCCATCGGACCGAACTACCCTTTGCTTCTCGCCTGCTTTCGCTTTCGGTTCCTTATGACGGTTTCGCCTGCGAGTCTCGAACCGAACCCTTCTTTCGGTTCTCATCCAACAACCGAACCCTCCTCTCGGTTCTAAGCACCCAAGGACCGAACCTTCGACCCTGAACTCGGACTTTTGCAGACTTCGCCCCTTTTCCCAGTTTTCGACCCCGACTCCGTTTTAAGCTCGTTTCTCGTGATTTTAACGTGGGATTTTCACCCAAACTCGTGTTTTGACATAAGAGACCCTATATTATCATAATTTAATCACATTTTAAGAGGGGAGGATCTTAAACTAAAAATGATATCTTTTGGGTGAGATTTTGTGATAAAGTGTGGACTTTCCCTAAAGTGTTACACAAGTTATCCCCCATACCCTCATAGGACAACCCTCAGTCACTATTCATCCCTACCTAGTCAACTATTTGTCCCTTTGACACCCCTTCTCCAGCTGCATAGCTTCATCAAAAGCTGGAAACTCTCATATCTCCTCCCACTTTACTCACTCTCTTACCAAAGAGCAAACACCCCTCTCTCTCATTTTCCCTCTCTAGAACTCGAGATTTCAAGGCTATTCTTGGGCTTTTCACTCCAGTCTTGGTAAGTATATTCATCCTACACTTGAATACTCTACACTCCTTCACTCAAATCATGAATCTCTTATACAAATATCGTCATATTTGTGCCTAGGATCTTCGAATCTTCAAGTATCTCCCAAGTGTTCTTGACTTGGAAACCTTTCTTCTTCCACCTTCATCTCAGGGAATTACTCAAGGTGAGTTCATACCCCCCATATTTTCATGTTTTCTTC